TCCAAAGCCCGTATGCGGTCTCTGAGGGCCTGGAGCTCCTTGCACCGAATGCACACATATGCCACCCACCCATGGGGCAAGTAATCATACATGCTACACTGAGTGCAATAAACAGGATATCCCCCGCTCTGCTGGTGGGCTTCTGCCTGCATTCTTTCCTACAGCTACCTAGGTTAATGATAGGGTTTTTGTTTAAATCAAGAAGTTTTGATTATAGTTTAGTTTAAAGGTTTTTGGCTGCCTTTCCAAATACAGTTTGTGATCCAGAGGCCACACTCACTAACATTACATAAATATAAACACTGATATTCTTAAGGTCAATTTAATGCAAAGTGGGAGCTGAAAGTAGCAAGAGAAGTCAGTAGGGCTTGAGGGGGTGGAGCAAAGAGGCAATTTAAAACTTAACTGCCCTGTTGCCTTTCCCCCACACTAGGGGAGAGAAAGACCAAGGGGATAGTAGGAAGTGAGGCAGGAATGTAGGGAGTTACAAGTTCTGACTGCCTTTGCAGCTCTTGTATCTTACTTCATTCTGGTGGCTGCAAACATAGTGCTCTCCAGAGAAATGCCAGTGCAACAAACAAATATCTCCAACAGCCAGAGATGGGACACTAGAAGGGAAGAGCTCTGAGTTACTCCTAGATATCTGGTTGGTGGGTCTTGCCCACATGCTCAGGGTCTCACTGATCGCCAGATTTGGGGTCAGGAGGGAATTTTCCACTAGTTAGATTGGCAGAGACTCTGGGGGAGAGGGGGGTTCACCTTCTTCTGCAGCATAGGTCACTTACTGATTTGAACTATCGTAAATGGTGGATTCTCTGTAACATGAAGTCTTTAAATCAAGGTTTGAGGACTTCACTAACTCAGCTAGAGGTTATGAGACTATTAGAGGAGTGGGTGGGTGAGGTTCTGTGGCCACAATGTGCAGGTCAGAGTAGGTGATCATGATGGTCCCTTCTGGCCTTAAAGTCTAAACAGAAAACAACATAACTCATTGAACTATAAGTAAACATTGAGAGAGAGAGAAAAACAACAGATGGGACAAACAAAAAGCAAACCAGCAGCCATTTTACCAGGGAACATTTTCTTGCAACAGCCCTCAAGTTTCAGAAAGCAAAATCAGTAAAACTGCATTTCTGTACTGATTGTCACAGGAGTCATGGATTCCATGACTTTCAATTTAAAAAAAATATCCCTGGCTTGACGTTTTGGGGTGTGTGGCGCTAGATGGATGCAATAGTAACAGCTAGACCTACACGGCTTCCAAGTGAAAGACTGGGATGCAGGGGAAACTAAGACAGCAGGAACTCTTTAAAGCACTAGTGCTTTATCAGGTAATCACGGGATTGAGTCAGGAATGCAGTAGGTGCTGCAAGGCTGCAATGATGGCCACCAGAGTAGCAATTTTAGAATAGTCTTAACTGTTAATTAAATGTGAATTGTAAATGTGAATTGTAAATTACTTTTACTGAAAATAAAAACAGGCTATTTTGAATAATGCAACCTGTGCATTGGGATTTTTACTAAAAATTCATGATTTCCTTTTTTCACTTTGACCAGCGGGATCACTTATTTATTATTTGCATTGCAGTAGTGTTTTACACCCTGCAGTCAGAGATTGTGAGGCATATTGCAATTTACCATGACAAATCACTAACCTGAATAAATCAAAGAGAAATAACAATCTAGTCATCAGAAACCTCAAACTATTCCCTGAAATAACAACACATTAGCAAAGTGATTATCAACAAAACTGTATGATATTCAAATGTATATCTTTTTAAGAGGCCATTTAACAAAGCTAAGTTTTACCTCATTATAAGGTGAAAAAATGAATTGGAAAATAATCATCAGTCCTATCAGGGTGGGCTGAGTCTCATAGAAACCAAATGCAGCGAAGAGTTCTTTCTGACCAATTAATACTGCAAACAAAAAGAAGCAGAGGAAGGAGTTCATCTAGAAAGAGAGGAAACAGAATATTCCCATTAATATGATCCTTTCAACTATCCACAAGATTATTGCTTAAATGCTTATTACAGAGGTGCTCAGAAGCAGGGGTCCTGCTGAAAAAACTGTATGTGATCATGTAATTAAACACTGTATCATAATGCATATGCACAAGGGGCCAAATTAAGGTTTCACAGGTAACTTAGTTCTGACATTTCCTAACTTTCAAGTACCTTACTTTGCAACCTTAATAATGTTCTTTTAATGTAGTTTTCTGTGTGTAATTATGAATAAAGTCTGTCCATTATCCCTCTCTTCCAACGACTAGGCTGGCTTTATACAGACATGATGGTAGTATAGAGGCAGTTCCTGTGAAAATTTCTGAAGCAGGATTCTGTAGCAACTTTACAGATCTGTTCAGAGTAAGGGTAGGTCTACACTTACTTCCTGGTTCGGCAGCAGGCAATCGATCTTCTGGGATGGATCGATTTATCGCGTCTAGACAAGACACGATAAATCGATCCCAGAAGTGCTCGCCGTCGACGCCGGTACTCCAGCTCGGCGAGAGGAGTACACGGCATCGACGGGGGAGCCTGCCTGCCGCGTCTGGACCCGTGGTAAGTTCGGACTAAAGTACTTCGAATTCAGCTGCGTTATTAACGTAGCTGAATTTGCGTACCTTAGTCCGAAGTGGGGGGTTAGTGTGGACCTGGCCTAAGTGTTATGTGTGTAATGGGCAGCATGGAAGAAGGCACAGAAATGTTTGCATGAAAAATTGACAGTGCGGAAGAAGTGAGGAACTTGTTATAAGAAAGAGCGGAGAAGACATAGGGAGGGACAGATTTGTGAAGGTTCTTAAACAGCAGGTCAAAAAGTTTGAACTTAATACAGTGAAATGGGAGAACCACTGAATAGATTCAAAGAGGGAGGTGATACAGTCCAAGCAATGGTCTGAGGGGATGATCTTAGCAGCCGAATTTGGGCAGGTAGGGAGCAACATGGATATTAAAGTGTGTCATTCTATACCTTGGGGGAGTATCCTGTAACCCCCATATTCCTCATTTATATATAATTGTGATCTTGCATATAAAGTATGCCACGTAAGATATCAGGGGAAAGGTTATGATCTGATGAAAGTCACTGTTCTATTTAAATATGTATATCATTAGTGCATATGAAGTTATGAGATTGTGTTGTATGGTTGTCAGTAAAACATGCTGTAAGTTGGGGAATCGGCCAGGTATTAGCTCCCCAGAGACAACAGCAAGGAAAGTAACCAACGCCCAGGCGGGTGCCACAAACAACCATCAATCGCCATAGTCCCGCAAGGGAGTTACAATTCAATGATTCACCTGCATAAGGCCATACGAGGGGAAGTGCTCAACCTTGCTTGGGGACTCAGCAATGCCCACCAGACGTACCTGGACTTTTGTTCTCCAAGCACATGGGACGGACGGTATAAAACAGAACACAGAGGCCCTATGCAGGGCCTTTCTCCTTCCCGCATCTATGCTGCAAGCAACAAGGACATGGAGAAGACTGAAGAGTTCAGCAGTGGAGACTGGCCCAAGTTTAAGGACTGTATATTAAGGACTGCAATATCCAGTGGGGTGAGAAAAACTGCTTAATCTAGATGTTGCCCAGTCTAACAGAGTTAAGGAGTTTAGACTGCGTGCTTATATTTTCTTTTGGTAACTAGCGCTGACTTTTTGCCTATCACTTATAAATACTTAATTTGTTTAACTGTTTATCTTTACTAGTGAGTTTGCCTGAAGAGCAGTGCAAGATGGCATATTCCTGAGGTACAAGGCTGGGAGTTCAGGGGGGATTTGGTTGGTGTCTTTCTCTGTGCGATTCATGAGTGACTCTGGGAGAATTCATGCAATCTAGCTGGGTGTGGGGATGCACATGGTGTTGTGCTGAGTGATAACAGGGCCTGGAGGGGTTTGCTGCTTGTCACTAGCAAGGCATTGTGAGAGACAGCCCAGGCTGGAGAGATAAAGGGGCACAGCGGTCCCACAGGCCCAGGCCGCACCCTGGGGATCCCATTACATAAAGAAGTCAGAGAAAAAAGTTACAACAGTCAAGGGGGAGATGATGAGCACCTGGGTGAGAGTTTTAGCTGTGTGGATAAAAATAAAATTCCTGATCCCATGCGGTAACCTGACAGTGACATCATAATGTGGATATGCGGTGACCAAGATAAAGAAAGCAGCCAGTGTGCTGCCCCCTGGGATGGGACAGGAGACAATACCAAAGAATGCTCGGGAACCGTCATTTAGACTCTCAGGGAGCAAACACGAGCAATTTTGATGGATTAAGGGATGATTCCAGAATGTTGGGAAGGGAACTCAAGATAGGGTTATTGCTGGGATCTTCAAAGATGTTTCTAGCACCAACAGCAGGTGAAGGAAAGAGATCGATACTGGTAATCAACAGCAGTTTAGAGCGGAATACTGGATATCTTCTATGGAGACAGAAAACTGTTTGAACTAGACAATGCTGGAGCGCAAGGGAAATTTGGGGAATGTTTCTCTAGCTCTTGTGCATTGTCCAGACTGATTTGCATGAGTAAACTGATTTTGTCAGACCTTGTAGCCGGATGCGGCCCAGTCCATGGCTTGGCCTTTGCCAGGCAGGAGCAGCTCCTGCTCCATGGGAAGGAGGGGCAGCCCATAGGCCCCCCGGCATCTGCTTTTTTAAATGTGTCTATGTTGACTTCCTGTTATGCCAGCTTCACCTTGCTCTTAAAGTGCGGTTTGCAGTTTTCTGTCTGAACCACAAACAGCAACGGAAGTCCTCGCTGATGTGAGGGGCTTGCTTAAAGCTATACTACCAATTGTATTCATGCTTATGAATATGTAATCAATATGTAAGAAGTGAGTGAGATAGTATGAGTGTAAGAAACCAGTCGCAATGCTTAAACCGAAATATTACCGTGTAAGGATAATGAAGGTGCATACGGGACTGTATATAAACATATGGCAGTAGTGGCCAGAGAGAGGTAAACCCACAACAGCAAAAACTCAGAAATGAACCAGAAGCAGTAGAGCCCTCTCGCAGACCCGAAGGGGCTTCGGAGACTCTCATCGCCTAGCGGTTCGATCTCTGGGAAGCTGGAACCTGGCCAGTCTGTCACCTAAGATCGAAAGCAACACCTGTGTCTGCAGCTTGTTACCAGTATGCACGGAATGTGTGTGTGAGTATAATTGCGTAAATAAGGGAAGCAAGCAATAAATCAGCCCTCAGTACTACTTCAGTTCGATCTCTGTTTGTGGTTATTTCTTGACTGGTTCCAAGAAAGGGTAACAACCTCACTTCAGAATGGCCCTTTCGTTGCAGCCTGTCCAGTCACCTCATTTTGGGGACCATGGGGAAGTGCTCTACTCCCCAAGTGGAAGAGAGTAGAGCACCCTTCTTCTAGAGCATGATGGAAGATGCAACACACACACTCCACTCAGGGAATCCAGAGCTTCAAAAAGATGTAGTCGAGAAATGATTTGGGGAACATGAGAGAAGCTGAGACTTTGGGGGGTAGGGGGATGTTTTGTAGCAAGAGGAGGACTAAAATGTTGGATGTTGTCTCCCTTTGTTTGGATTGTACTAAGGTGTGCGTTCCCTGAGGGTGTGACTGGATGTGCCGGGCAGAGGAGTTGCCTGCAGGATGCAGAACCCTAGATGGGAATTGTAAACAGGCATCGATCCTGCTTCAGATTCAGAAAGAAGTAGGGGAGCCAGACAAATTAGACAGGAGTAAAGTGCCGATGTGGGAACTTGGCCATGGGTTTACCATACTGTCCCCAAATAGCTGAGAAGATGCTAGTGTAGGACACTGGACACAAGGAAATCTGAATGGCCCAAGGGATGCCACAGACCTCCCCTTCCAGAAGAGTTCATTTGCTGCAGGCAGTAGGATTGTGTGTGAACCATGAAATGTGACAATTTTGGATTGCTGAACATAGTAATTGAAAAAATGCTCCAGGAATACCACCAATATACTACTATTTACCTGGCTGATGACAATATTTTTGATAGTGTGACCTAGCTTCCAGTGACCCAGTTCATGGCCAAGCACTGCCAAAACTTCTTCATTTTTGCATCCTTGCTTCTTATTCTGTGCAAAACGAGAGAAAAATCTCAAACATCTCACATAACATGAGTAACCAGTTTCCTGCCTGCTGATCTGTCTTCTCCAAACTGCATGGTATGCCAGCTCAGAAAGCAGTTATCTTCCTCTTACACACAGAGGAATACAAGTAAAAACTAACCTCTTGTAATATTCTACCCCTTTTTTATAGGGACTCACTCATAGAAGCTGGACTGAATAGGAGCTGGACTGTGTCTAATAACCATTAATGAAGCTACAAACTTTTCAACAATACTACAGTTTTATTTACCAGCAGATGGTCCTATCAACATAGACACCCTTTTATACAGAACTTTCATAATGTCTCTCCACTTATAATGGAACTGAATGAGTTAAATTAACAATATAATGAATAACCATTGAGCTTTATCTGTTTGTTCTCATTTGCTATGTCTGGGGGCCTTAATATACCTCTAAAATAAAAATTCTGGCCTCCAGGCAAGGAGACAACAAAATGAGCTACTGAAAACCAGGAGACATTATCTAAAAGGAAACTGGACACACAGAGATGGTGCACTGCCCTATCCAGAGTGCTCCACAGAGGAGACAGAAGCAAAAAGAAAAGATTGAGGAAAATTCTTGTTCAGGTAAGAACAGCCATACTGGGTCAAACCAAAGGTCCATCTAGCCCAGTATTCTGTCTTCCGACAGTGGCCTATGTCAGGTGCCCCAGAGGCAATGAACGGAACAGGTGATCCATCCCCTGTCACCCATTCCCAGCTTCTGGCAAACAGAAGCTAGGGACACCATCCCTGCCCATCCTACCTAATGGCCATTGATGGACCTATCCTCCATGAATTTTTCTAGTGGACAGAGAAAGGACTCTCTGCTGCTTGGAAGAAAACTCTGCTGAGCCAGCTACCTTCATAATGCTGAGGATGTCCTGTCCTCTCTCTGCTGGTAGGACACTATCTAGACTGACATACAGTATGGTGGAGAAAATTATCATCGTGCAATCAGTCTTTGTAAAATAAATGTGCTTATACTACTGGAGAAGACATCATTTGGAGATATATAAATGTGTTCTTCCAAACAGTTCAAGTCTGAACTATTTCCCTAAAACTTTTATAAACGGGGCGGACTGAAATCCACTTTTTTGGTTCAAGTCAGTTTTACAAATTCAGTCTGGTGGATTACATTTGCTATCCAGACTTTCTCAGGATGCAGACTTTGTTCTGCAGAACAGGTCTGTTTCTGGCCCCAGAGCTGAAATATAACCAGGAGATCAACCCACTCCCACTCTGCCCCCTGAAGGCCCTTCCTGGATTGAAGTCAGGAATCTTTTTGCCAGTCCCTCAAGGCTGGACAGGACAACATGCTGTGACTGCCTGGAAAAGATTTTTGAATGGGGAGAGAAGTAAATTTATCAGGTCTCCAGCTGAAGACAGATACAGGTGAGGGATATACCAAGGTCTAAGGAGGGAAGAAATGGTACAGGAAGGTAGAACCCAGAACTTTTGAGGCGGAAAGAGAGGCCAACAGAGCTCTCAAGAGGTTTTTAGGAACCTCTAAGCCAAGATTCTTGAGCTCTTGGTGTTGCACCCATCCACAACCTTGGAAAGTGCATTTGTACCAGTGTCTCAGAGAGTCTCCTGTAAATAAATATTGAAGTTTCAAATGCTTTCAAGGTTTTGTTTTTACGGTTTCACAATCCTACAACAGAATATGGAGAAGATGTAAGGGAGAATCTCGCTGGGGGAATCAGGAAAACTACATGACAGGAGAACAAAAATGAAGCTCACTTTGACTTTGGACTTTGTGTCATCATCTTCACCGTCTTCTCCTTCTGGGTGTTCTTTGTTCAGTGCAGAGTAATCTTCCAGGAGGGTGTCAAACAACACTATCCGTTTATTCTTGAAGAAGCCATAGAAATAAGCATTGCTATGGGAGGAACGCTTGGAACCTAGTGGGGATGAAAATTCACATTAAAAACATAGGTCAAAGTACTTTGTGTGCATTAAAATCTAATGGTGCAACTTTCTATTTAACAGTCTTTCAAGGGCATTTCCTCTCCACCATGAGGTCAGTAGGCATTGATCCATTGCAAAATGCATTAAATCTCAGGTTGAAGCATATTTTTAGACACCCTGTTAGGTTTGTTTAATCTATTACTGTACTACATACATATTGTAGGGATAGATTTCTTTATCTGCAAAACCTATTATAGAGGCATTGTATACAACACCACAGTTAAGGTTGTGTTCTGAAAAGGACTTACAACGTGGCATACATTTTTCTCTGTATGAAAATAGCCTTTAAATGTGAAATTTTATATAGTTTTAGTTTAGCACTATACAAAAATCAATGCATCACATTCAATGGATTAAAAACTAGCTAGCTGATATATCTCAAAAAGTAATTCCATATGGGGAATAGTCATGCAATGGGTACATTTCTATTAGGGCCTTATAAGGATGTGTTCTTGGTCCACTTCTATTTGAAAAGTTTATCAATGATAGGGAAGAAAATATAAATTCCTTGCCAGAAAAGTTTGCAGTTGACACAAAAATTGGTGGAGTGGTAAACAATAAGAAAAAACGGTTACTCACCTTTGAGATGTGTTGTTCATGTCCATTCCAAGCAGGCGTGTGCGCGCCATGTGCACGCCAGCTGGAAGATTTTCCCTTAGCAGCGTCCGTAGGGTCGGCCCTGGCGCCCCCTGGAGTGGCACCTCCATGGCGCCCTATATAGGGGCCCGCCGACCCTCCACCCCTTCAGTTCCTTCTTGCCAGCACTCCGACAGAGGGGCAGGAGGGTGGGTATTGGAATGGACATGAACAACACATCTCGAAGAACAACTGTTACAAAAAAGTGAGTAACCGTTTTTGCTTCTCTGAGTGATTGTTCATGTCCATTCCAAGCAGGTGACTCACAAACCTGAGTTTAGGCGGTGGGGTCGGAGTTCACTGCGGATTGGAGCACTGCACGGCTGAAGGCTGCATCGTCTCTGACCTGGTGCATGATGGCATAGTGGGACGTGAATGTATGGATTGAAGACCACGTGGCCTCTCTGCATATTTCCTGTGTCGGGACCTGAGCCAGGAACACCGCAGAGGAGGCCTGTGTTCTTGTGGAGTGGGCTGTGATTGGCGGGGCAGGCACCTTAGCCCGATCGTCGCATTCACGGATGCAGGCCGTGATCTATGAGGAGATATGTTGTGATGAGACGGGGAGCCTCTTTATCCTGTCAGACACAGCAACAAATAGGGGTTGATTTCCTGAACGGTTTGGTTCTTTCAATATAGAATGCCAGGGCCCTGCGAACGTCCAGGGAATGCAGCCTATGCTCCGTGCTGGAGGAGTGTGGCTTAGGATAGAATACAGGGAGAAAAATGTCCTGACCCATGTGGAATTGGGAGACCACCTTAGGAAGGAATGCCAGGTATGGCCTAAGGTGGACCTTGTCTTTGTGAAAAACAGTGTATGGAGGCTCGGACGTCAGGGCTCTGAGCTCCGATACCCTCCTGGCTGAGGTGATAGCCACGAGGAATGCAACCTTATAGGAGAGATACACTAATGAGCACGTAGCCAGGGGCTCAAAGGGGGCCCCCATGAGGGCAGGAAAGGACTAAATTAAGGTCCCAAGCCGGAACAGGTTGTCGAGTATGTGGGAAAAGCCTATCCAGGCCCTTGAAGAAGCGCCCGACCAGTGGGTTTGCAAAGACTGAACCACCGTCAGCTCCTGCGTGGAACGCTGAGATGGCTGCCAAGTGGACCCGAACCGAAGAGAGGGAAAGACCCTGCTGTTTCAGATGAAGTAGGTAGTCAAGGACGAGTGGGATCGGGGCGAGCAATGGAGCCTGTCCCCGCTGTTCTGCCCAGATGGAAAACTGTTTCCACTTGGCTGTGTATGTGGCCCTGGTGCAGGGTTTCCTGCTACCAAGGAGGATTTGTCTAACCTATTGTGAGCCCTGCATTTCCACCGGGTTTAGCCATGGAGCATCCAGGCTGTGAGGTTGAGCGATTCCAGATTCGGGTGCCGGAGGCGGCCTCGATCCTGTATGATCAGGTCCGGGAACAGGGGCAACGCGAAGGGAGCGTGCACCCCCGTTGATATAGAACATTGTTGAGGTACTGTCCGTGAGGACTGCAACACACCTGCCTGCCAAGTGAGATTTGAAGGTCAGGCAGGCGAGACGAACCGCCCGTAGCTCCCTGACATTGATGTGCCAGGAGAGGTCCTCTGAGGACCAGAGGCCTTGGGTCCTGAGGTCCCCCAGATGTGCCCTCCACCCCGTATCTGACACGTCTGTCACCAAGGATAGGGATGGCTGAGGGCTAGCGAAGGGTACTCCCACACAGACCTCCCACGGGTCGAGCTACTACTGGAGGGAATCTAGCACTGTTCGGGGAAGCGTCACCACAGAGTCCAGCGCGTCCCTGGCTGGTCGGTACACAGTCGCTAACCAGGACTGATGACGGCGCAGCCTGAGCCTGGCATGGCGTACCACATAGGTGCACGCTGCCATGTGCCCCAGCAACTTGAGGCAGCTCCTTGTTGTGGTGGTCGGGAAACGCCAGAGACCGAGAATGATGTCGGACATGGACTGAAACTTGGACTCCGGTAGGTACACTCTGGCTTGCATCGAGTCCAGAACTGCCCCTATAAATTCTATCCACTTGACGGGAGACAGGGTAGACTTGGCCTCGTTCAGCAGGAGGCTGAGCTCGAGGAAGGTCCATCTGATAAAGACCACCTGAGCCTCCACCTGTGCCTTGGAGCGGTCCTTGATGAGCCAATCGTCTAGGTAGGGAAACACCTGAATCTCGTGGTTGTGCAGGAAGGCTGCTACGACTGCCATGCACTTTGTGAAGACCTTCGGGGCCGCTGACAGGCCGAAAGGCAGAACTGCGAACTGGAGATAGGTGTTGCTCACAACGAATCTGAGGTAATGCCTGGGTTGAGGGATTATCGCGATATGAAAATACGCGTCCTCTCCTGGATCCATGGAGGGAATGATATTAGAAGTTGCTCGTGAGAGGGATCCCTGAAGAGGGACGGGGAGGGGGACTGGTGGGGCAGGAGGGAGGATAATTGGATAGAATATCCCCGCTCTACCGTGCGGAGCACCCAACTGTCCGATGTGATTCAGGACCAGGCTCGATAGAAAGGGGACAGACGTGACAAAAAGGTAGGATTGGTAGGATCCAAAGTCCTGACTGGTAGGTCGTCCTCGACCGCACCATCAAATTTGGGGTTTAGGCCCCGACAGAGGCTGCAGCTGGCCAGACGATTGTCCAGCAGGCAATTGTTGCCTCCTCCTGCCGCTTCTACTCTGCCTATGCGAGAGCTCCGGGCGGTTCTGGGGCTGGTACGGCTCTGGGGCTGGTTCTGGGGTCGGCTGCGGCCTGAATTCCCTGTGGTGGGTGGCTGGAGTGTGGAGGCCCAGCGAGCGTAAGGTAACTCTTGAGTCCTTTAGGCTATGGAGCCTCTTGTCCGTTTACTTGGAAAACAGCGTGGGCCCCTCAAAGGGGAGGTCCTGGATGGTCTGCTAGACCTCATGTGGAAGGCCTGAGACCTTAAGCCAAGACCCCCGCCGCATCACCAGACCAGTGGCCAGCATGCGGGAGGCTGCATCCGCTGCATCCAGGGCCGCTTGGCGGGATGCGCGTGAGATCAGCTTGCCCTCCTCCACCAGAGCAGAGAATTCTGTTCACGATTCCTGGGGAAGGAGTTCAGCGAACTTGGACAAGGCCGAGCACGTGTTATGGCCATACCGGCTCACTATAGCCTGTTGGTTGCCTATGCATAGTTGGAGACCTCCTCTTGAATACACCTTTCTACCAAAGAGGTCCAACTTTTTGGCCTCCCTGTTCTTTGGTGTGGGCCCTTGAAAGCCCTGACACTCCCTTTGGTTGGCTGCATCCACAACCAGAGAGTCCAGGGGAGGGTGAGTATATGGGTGCTCATGGCCCTTGGAGGGTACAAAGTAGCGCCTCTCTGTCTTTTTGGTCGTAGGGGCCAAAGAAGCTGGTGTTTGCCAAAGGGCGCGGGACGTGTTGGCTATCGTTTTGATCAATGGTAGGGCGACCCTAGATGGGCCCGAGGGAGCCAGGATGTCCACTACTGGGTCTACATCCACATCGACCACCTCCACCTGGATTGCCAGGCTCTGTGCAGCCCTTTTAAGTAGCTGTTGAAGCACCCGGTTGTCCTCTAGGGCCAGTGCCGCTGAAGTTCCCGCGAGTGCCTTGTCGGGCGAGGAAGAGGAGGAGATCACCTGCAGAGGACCGTCCTCACTACCACCGGCCTCTCTGCAGGGGCCTGCGGCACACGGTACTCAGGTTGCGTAGCCGGTGCGGATGTAGGATGCAGCACCGCAACCAGCACCGGGGTTGACACCAAATGACGAGGGGCACTGGGCGGTGCCTGCGGCGTTGAAGACATGGCCCCCATCGGTGCTGGTGTCTGACTAGGCGGTGCCGGAGTCTGTTGTGGCACACTCCTGTCGGACGGCGGTGCCGGTGGTGGCGGCATCTGCGCCAGAGCCACCGACGTTGAATAAACCGATGCAGACCTGGAGCGTGGACCATGCACCTGTCCCAGGGTCTGATGGTAAGCCCAGGGAGTCCAGAATGGCCACTGGGAGGGCAGCTGCCACTGCTGCTGCCACGGCGCCGGGTAAGGTTGTTGGCTTGCCTGCGAAGCTGACCTCCTGCTCCTTGATCTACTAGAGTGATAGGATTCCGCCTCCACGGTTTCCGAATATGAAGACCGAAGAGGGGCAGTACCCACTGTTGCCAGCGAGCGGTGCCGCAAGGCCGGAGAACGCTTTCTTCACACCAGTACCACCAAAGCGGTGTTGGGTGGGGACTGTGGCGTCATCATGGCCGGCTTGCCCCTTCATTGGATCGGGGGTGGGGCCGTCCCTGGCAGCTCTTCCGTCCTGCGCGGGGAGGCCG